TAAACTTTATTCATAAAATGGAAATTTATTTACAAAAAATTAAAATTTAAAAATTGTTTAGACCGGCATTTTAAAATATTTTGTTGAGAGTAGCTTTCTGTGTTACCTAGGGATGTTTTCTAAATAACATATTATTTTATGTTACCCTATCTTATCTTTTAGTTTTTTATTAAACATAGTCATAATTTTTTAAGTTAAAGATTTACTTATTCTTTTAGCCACATAAATGTATGATGTTACTGTCTTAGGTTATTGAACTCACTCATGCAAACATATGCAAGTTCTATGGAGTCTGTGTTGATGCGGGGAGTGAGATGTCAATATGGGAATATTGTAGAAAAGGTAGCCTGCAGGATGTCATCCACAATGACAAGAAGTACCTGGATGACATGCCATTCAAGATTTCCTTCATGAATGACATCTGTAAGGTGCGTCTAAAATGGATCATGTTTTGAGTACATTGTATGGCTTCACCTGTACTAAAAAGCTTTTTATATATGTAACAGTATACTTGTTTCATTTTAGGTGACTAACTTTGGTTCAAAAACCATTGAAGTGTTCATCTAAATGATATTACTATTTTCCGAATTAGTTTGCCTGATTACACAATGTTATTTTTTTAGCTCTAAATTTATTGCTTGAGGTCATCTAAAAAGTAGCCTATATGTCTTGTTATGTAGGTCTAATTGATATAGTTTTATCAATTATTTGGTCTGGTTTTTTTTAATAATAGTTATCTTAAGCACACTATTTTACCACTTCTACGTCTAAACTTAATAGAAAATGGAAGAGGGTTAGGGTTAAAAAAAACAACAACATAAAAATGGTGGTTTAGGAGAAACAACAAGAGATGGTAGAGTGAAAAAATCAGGGGATTAGAGAGAAACAGAAACAACCCTTCAAAGGTCAAATGACAAAAGTATTTTAAATATTAATTAGAATGACATCAAATTTTTTTAAAGGAATATTTAAATGTCTTGACTCTTCAACTGCAAGTGACCAATTTTGTCAACATAATGAAAGTCACATACAATATTTTTTACATTATTGTTTAGCCCATCTTTTTCTCAGGGACTCCGTTATCTCCACCACACTCACCTGGGCCGACACGGGAGACTGAAAGCATCCAATGTGCTAGTGGACAACAGGTGGACATGTAAATTGACCCACATGTTGATCCCAAGTCTGGCCGATGTTGATGTCATTGGAGGAGAGTTCCCGAATTATGAAAGTGAGTTTGATTCACTGTTTGCAGGAGTCAGTTTTAGTGTCATGATTTCATGCTATTGATTTCGTAATTTTTTGTGTTTGTCTATTAAGAGATGCTATTCATTAAAAAATAAATAATTAAAATGCAACCACACAATAATGAATACCATGAGCTATTGTTTTTTAATCTATTGTGCATTGTAATAATTTATCAATATTATTTTTCAAAATGTCTAAAAAGCATAATTGTCTTGTTAGAGTATCAATTTAATAATTTATTTGTTTCCAGGGTTCTTGACAACTCCTCCAGAGGTTTTGAGGAATCCAGATTTAGCAGTACCAGGAACTAAAGCAGCCGATGTGTATTCTTTTGGAATCATTCTACTGGAGATTTTTACAGGTTTTAACATCAACCTTTTTAGCCCAAAATTGGAAATATTTTTTTTTAAAGGATGTTACTGCATACAAATTTAAGTTTCAAGAAATCATTTAAGTTGATTTATTTAATAAAACCACAAATTTAATGAAGAAAATTCTAAAGGCAGCTTACACTGTGATATGTTGGTTTATAATAATTTATATTAATAATAGCTTGATATGGTAGAAAAAAAAAGCTACACACAAGGGAAGGATGGTGCTTATTAAAAAATCTATTGATAACCTCTTAAATCATAATATATTATTTTAAACTACCTTTTTAAGTTTAGTTAAATACGTCATCAAATTTAATTTTTGTACAATACAAGAGATTACTGACATCATTCTTCAATATTTAAAATCAAAACGCCTTAAAATAAACTATTAGTACCAGTGACAACACAATAATTCATTGAAGATGGTGAAGAAAATGCTTGGTTTGAAAAACGTTATGTTTGGAGACACATCTTGTACTTGCAAAAGTATCATATTTTTGTTTTGTAATGGATCTGTCCCAAAAGTTAAAAATTTGATAGATCTATTTTCAGTCTTTTTTGTATAGTACCATCCTGTTCTGCATCAGTATCATTCTGAAATGTATTGGCACTACCCTTATAGTCCTCGCCTATGTATTTTATATTTATTTTACTTCATTGCCTTTATATTTTCCCATCTAGTCACCTAGATATATTAAATGCATCTAAATGAAACTATTTATGTAAAAAAAGGAAATGAGTGAAACAAATAATGGGAAAACCAAAAAAAAAAAAAAAAAAAAAAAAAAAAAAAAAAAATAAAAAAAAAAAAAAAACCAAAAAAAAAAAACAGAATTAAAAAAAAAAAAAGCTTATGAAAACTTCTTGCCGATATGTTCCTTGTTTTTTTTTTTCTTTTTTTTGCTAGCCTGATTTCAGTCTCTCCCCTAATTACATAACTATATATAAATCACTAACCTTTTTAAAAAGACTTAATTTTATTGCAAATAAAGAAACCATTTATTTTTTTAAATTTCTACCTCTCAGTAAGTGAAATCCATGAAGCATTCAATGCAGCCTACACACAGGAACAAGCTGTGGAGAAGTACAAGACACTTCTTAAGAAAAGACACTTGAACCATCACAGCCATCATCACCACCACCATCATTCCAGTCATCATGGCTCCAGTCTCCATCATGGCTCAAGCCTACATCATGGCTCCAGCCTCCATCATGGCTCCAGCCTTCATCACAGTTCCAGCATGCATCACCATGGCTCCAGCAGCATCCACCATCATGGATCCAGCAATATGCACCACCACCATCACGGACATCACCATTCCTCTCTTCATCACAGAAATAGTCATTACATGTCGACAGGACTATTTACTAACAGCGAGCATACAGACAGTAAAATGAACATGGATGAAACACTTGATGCTAAAGGTAGATGTTCTTTTCATGAACATGGATGAAGTATCAATCTTAAGGTAGAGTTTTTTTTTTATCAACATGGATGAAGCACTCAAAGCTAAAGGTAGATATTCTTTCCTTCGCTACAACTTAAAAAAGGTTAAAATTCTCTCAAACAAATATATTTTAAGAAGAAGGCTTAAACCAGCATCAGCTGTACAGGATAAATTAGAAAATCTGACAATACTGTTTTAGAATTTGAGGATTGTGTTATTAAGCTTGCTAAGAAATTACCCAAATGAAAGCTACACATTTTGTTTTTAAGTTATAGACATCTTTGGTCACTTTTTATGTTAGTTGACCCACATCTTGAATAATGGGGAAAATAGATAAATATTAGCTGAGGCTTTCTTAAAATCTATATTTTGATGCTAAATGTTAATGGTTAAAATAATATCGAAGAAATAATAACAGTACTGAAATTAAAATAAGTAAATTATTCATAAGAAAGCTTTTTTTTTTTTTTTTATTTTTCTTTAGGCTACATCATTATTTTGTATCAAATCAAAGTTTTTATGAAAAATAAATAAATACTATAGCCTACATTTATTTTCCAGATTTAATTTCAAAATTAAAATAAGTAAATTATTCATAAGATAGTTTTTTTTTTTTTTTTTATTTTTCTTTAGGCTACATCATTATTTTGTATCAAATCAAAGTTTTTATGAAAAATAAATAAATACTATAGCCTACATTTATTTTCCAGATTTCATTTCATAATGGGCATTACATTTTTCTGGGTTAAAACCTAAGTTGAGATTGCTGATGTGTTTCCCTGGAGTATACATTATTTAAAAGAAATAAAAATGAATTTTTTAAAAATTACTTAAGTTAACTTACAATAGTATTCAAATGTAATTCTTATTTGCTACAAAATTAAATACAATATCATTTTTTTTTTTACTATTAATTTGTGTGAAGAGAACATGCACATAATGGAACCAGCTCGTTAATCTATGCCACACATCAACAGATATTATTGAGCGACTAAAGAAAGGTGGAACATTTCCCTTCAGGCCATTGATCCCTGACTACATTGACCACAAGACCAAGAATGTCATCAATGAGTGTTGGAAGGAACAGGCAGAGGAAAGGCCTTCTATCGACCACATTTCATCTCTCATTCGGCAAATAAGTCAACAATACAGCGGGTTGGTGAATTATTTAGAGCTATTCCATTTTTCAAATAAAAAATGTCATTCAAGTTTAGAATTTTCAAAGTAAATAATATTTTATGCACAAATAATTCTGTTTTGAGGAATTAAATCATTTTCAAATAAAAAAAGTTTTAAACATAGAAAGCAGTATTAAGAAAAGAACGAAAATATCGCAATTTCAATGTAAAAGCTATAAGCTTTGTTATTTTTAACAGAAAAAATAAAAGCCTAATGGAGCAGATGTTGGACAAAGTGACCAGAGAAGCTGACATGCAGGCTCAAGAGCTACAAGAAGAGAAGAACAAATCTGATATGCTGCTGTACCAGATGCTACCTCCGTAAGTCTGAAATATTTGGCTCATCTTTTTATAAGGAAAAAAAGGGTATTTTTTAACATTCATTTCTGATACAGGAATTAATATATTGTTATTGATGTTTTGTTTTTAATTAACAACAAAGTTAAAAAGGAACATCTGAGATATATAATTATTGTATCCATCCTCTTAATAACATTACTAATTAGACACAATTACAAGTACAATAAGTAATAGATGACCTAGAATTTATAAAAATGTACTGGTAGTTATATTTTTTAAATGTAAGTGTGAAATCTTTGATAAATAAAATACTAACAAAAATATTGACCAATCAGACTAAAATAAATTGTCTCCAAATTTAAGTATTTCTTTCAATTATAATAAGAAAATTATGTAATTCTGGGTACAATTGAGTATTTTCTGTTGCTTTCTATTTCAAATATTTTCCTTATAGAACAGTTGCTGACTGTTTAAAAAAACAGATAGAAGTCAAACCTGAAACATTTCAGTCGGCAACAGTTTACTTTAGTGACATTCAGGGTTTTACAGATCTTTCTAGTGTCAGTGAGCCTATTGAGGTAATTTTTTTAAGCTTATCTACTTTACTGTTAGATTGTCGACAAGACTACAATTTTGACTCATTAAATGGAAGTATTTTCCTCAAATTTTGGTGAGAAACAATATTTGTTAATTCTAAAATAAATTTTTGCTATATCATTATAAGTATAAGAATAAGAAAATAATAAATTGAAGTCACAAAAATGGGAAAAAAACAACAACTCATTGTCTTTCAACCAATTAGACATTAGATAATTATAGATGTTACTGTTTGAATACACATTTATAGCACAATAGGTACTTGAAGTGGAGCAAATGAAATAGTTATGTTAAATTACATCTTGATTCCCTTTGACATAGCTTGGTTATTTTAAGTCAATTTCTATATTATTTTTTTGTAATCAACATCTTTGAAAATTATCAATAAGTCTTTTTTTCAAAATATTTATCAGCTATTCAGCTAACAGGTGAAGCATCTCATTATTCTCATTGAAATCTCAATTATTGTCATTATTTCTTAACAGATAGTCAACTTCCTTAATGATGTTTATTACAAGTTTGACAGCATTCTGGATAAATATAATGTGTACAAAGTAAATTTAAACTTTTTTAAAAATTGATTAAAATCAAACTTTAATTAACAAAGTTTTCCATTATTTGACTACAGTGATTATTTCAGGGATCTAATGAAAATTTTTTTTAAAAGGTTAAATATACTTTTTTAACACCTTTAAAAATAAATAATATGTTCAAAACAATGTAAATAATAATGTGAATAATTGAAATCAATTATTTTTTTAATAAGGCTCATTTAAAAAAATTAATTTTATAATCTGGTTTAAAATTCAATTAATTAATGAGTTTTAATATTTGCAGGTTGAAACTATTGGGGATGCTTATGTTGTTTGCAGTGGTGTGCCAGTTAGAGTTGAGAATCATGCTGATGAGATTGCCAAAATGGCTCTACACATTATGTATAGTTCTGCTGACTTGAAGGTTCACCATCGGCCTGAACACAAGTTTCATATGAGAATAGGATTGCATAGTGGTAAATAAAATTTGGGTAAAAAATATGTAGTAGGAAAATTTAAATTTCTATAACTCAGATATTTTGTATGACCACCATTAAAAAATGCTTTTTTTAAAAAGAAAAACAAGAAAAAAGTTTTAAATCTATTTTAGGTACCGGTAGCTAATGTAAATGTCAAATATAATAAAAGAACTTTTAATATATCTGTATAATAGTCTATTTAAAATTCACTTAAAGTAACACATTTTTACTGTAGTTGCAATCACCTTTATTATGTACCGTAATAATTTTCAATACCATACAACATTATGATTATGTAGCATTATTTTTTTTTTTATAACACAATTTGGTTTACTCAATAGGGCATTAAATATTAGCAATAATTGTTTAGCCAAGAAATGGTTTAAAATATTTTTAGAGTTGTAAGTAGATAGTTAAAAATAGCTGAACAGTTTTTAAAAAAAATATACTGTAGTTTTTAATTTTTGAAATCTTTAACGCAGTTCTGAGAAAAATAATAAGCTCCTTTTAAAATAATTTGTCAAAAACAAATGCAGAAAATTTGAACAGATATAAAAATGCAGTATATTTAAAATAAAATATTTTAATACTGTATTTGTTTTGTATAAAATTAATATAGTATTATTTTTTTATAACTACTAGGACCCGTGGCAGCAGGTGTTGTCGGCAGAACAATGCCCAGGTACTGTCTCTTTGGAGATACAGTAAACACAGCAAGTCGAATGGAGTCAACTGGTTTAGGTAAGTTAGCAATCGTGAATAATTCTGTTTCGTTCCATATCACATGCATATATTTTTATAACTTCCCAATATACAATGAGGATAAATATTATTTTGTTGTTGTTTTTAATGAGTCTTTGATCTGAAAGAGTTAAATATTTCCGTAAATGAGTCAGAATCATTAAAATTCTGCACACTTTATCTTTACAAAGCTTTTGTTGTCAATATTACTGAAATGTAGATATTTGAAAAGTTTTAGAATTCACCAGCTAGTTTATTAGGAAAAATAGAGTCAGGGAAATGGCACAATTTTTTTTAAGTACTGGTATGGTACCAGTATAGCAGAATGTTTAGAAATTACAATATATAATACTTTCCTATTTACAAATCTGCAATAATTTACTTCCATTGGTACATAATTGCATTCTCCTCTTTCTCCCCAGCTGGTCATATTCAGATAAGTGAACAGTGCAAGAAGCTTCTAGATGCTGATGATGGGACCTTCAGGTATGAAGCCAGAGAGCCAATACATGTAAAGGTAGGCTGATGAGTTGCATAATAACACAAACAACAATAATAATCCTTCAAGTTCAAGTTAGAATGTCTCAAAAGTCTGCAAGTTGAAAATGTGAATTTGAATTCAATTGCATTTTGAAAATGTGTTTTTAAAAAAAAAGTTTTTAAATTCTTCTGAAATATAATACAAATAATTGTATTGACTAAACCACAGGGCAAGGGTGTGCTGCAGACCTATTTTTTAAAGAGCAAAGATGGCTTCCATCCAGATGACAATCCATATTTTGACAAAACTTCCAACAATCAAACAGATGAGAAAAAGCCACAACTCAACGGAACAAGCAACAAACTCATAGAGTCTGCACTAGAGGTGACCTCCTTGAATAATAATATGCAGTGTGAGACCACACAGATTTCTATAATAAGCTCCAGTGTTGCTGATGGGATGCCTGGAGTTCACATAGTTTGATCATCTTTTTTGTGAGGACTTCTTCAACTCTACTTTTGTTACTTTAGTTCAATATAATTGTTACTTAAAGTTTCCAGCTTATTCTGCCTTACATTACATTATGTAATTGTGTTTGTCTTATGTGTAAGTGTAACTGGAAACTTGTGGGTTTTTTAAACACTTCAGGAAGATACAAGTAAGAGATATTATAATTAATCGTTTAATGAAGGATTTAATTATTTTAAAAGTTATGAATTACTAATGTTATTCTCTTCTCATATGAAAACATGATCATAGGTTCTTTTTGTAAACTTATTTTGTTCTTAATCAATACAATTAGATGCTTTAAAAAGAAAATTATTTCATTTTGATATAATTAATTTTGGATACCGGTACCGTATCAAAAACAATATAGGTATTTATTAAAAACAAAGCCTAAAGTTTTTAATTTTTATCAATGTTTAATTCAGTCTTAGATTTAAATTAATAAATGACATTGTCATGGCTTTCCTTTTATTAATGATTTTATTGAAAAAGTTATTAAAAAAATACTTGTTTAAATTCCTAAAAATAATTTTTTTTAAAAGAAAGAATAAAAAAAAATAAAAAAATTAAGACATAGACTAACATACAATATCATTTATTTATAGAGAAAGTAATTCAATTAAAACTCTCTAACAATAAAGGCCTACTTTTCAGTTGAAACATGTTAATTTTAAAATTTTTTAAAATAATTTCATATTAGAAATATTATAAGCAATCTTATATTGCTTGTAGCAATGAAGTAATTGAAACAAGATTCATGTCTGTCAAAATTAGTTGATAAACTATCGGTACTAATAAATTTTTGTAAAATTATTCCATACAAATATTTTTACCTATGATTTTATTTTAAAATAAGGTCAAAATGAAAATGTCATGATAAAACTCTACTTGTTATTTCTAAATGCTTCTTGATGACAATTTTCTTTCTTTATACACATTTAAAAGGCTGTGATTTGTGTTAAGTAACTTGTTGATATCAGGAATTCTTGATTATTCTACATTTTAGTAAATACTTTTAAATATAGTTTTCTATATATTTCTAAAACATGTTTTTTTCTAATCTTGTGATGTTACAAAGGATTTGTTTGTTATTAGCATAGCTAAGCTTTTATGAAACTATCTGGATTATAAAGTCTAGGTTTAATTTTTTTTTAAAAAGAGGATTGGTAACAGTGCAAATAAAGGTTGTTTTATAAAAAACTAAGGTCTAGTAATATTGTGATCAAAAGTTTGCTTTTAATTTTAAATTCTTTTAAAAAAAATATGATAATATTTTTGCAAAGTATAAATTAAAGGATCCCGGTAGGTTATTTATGATGATGACAATATTATACAAATGGAATAGATTATTTAAATTTATAATTAAAGTTTTTATAAGATATCTACCTTTAAGCATTTTGTGCCATGTTTACAACAATTAATTAAATGCTACTAATATTCGTGGTATATAAATATTTTATTTCAATTGATATCATCTGACAAAAAAAATACATACCCATATAACAATTTTACTTTTTAAAAAAAAAAGAGTTTGGCTGTTGAAGATGAAGACTCCTTTATTTAAAACTAAATATATTTTCTAACAAAAAATTTCAAATAGTTTAATTTTCGGGAGATTATTTTTTTTTTAGAATTACAATGAATATGTTTGTGGTTGGCTACGGTTGAGAAGCATCATGTACTTGATGCTTAAATTACATTTGCAGGCTAAAATCATTCATTTGGGGACATCCATCCCAATCACTTCAAACATACTAACAATCTAAATTGTAATATGTTGTTGTCACCATGTAACTAAGTTATATAAGATAAATTGATTTCTAGATATTCCCGTAGCTCTTAAAATAAATAAAACCTTTCAGATGTGTCTTTCTCCTGGCGCACAATTTTCAGTAATGAACATTTCTTCAGAGGTGGCTTCCCCTGGCACACAATTTTCAGGGGTGGACATTTCAAAGTGAAAAATATAACAGAAGTAACCATAAACTAAAGAACTTCAAATTTCTCAATAATTTAAATTCTTAAATAAAAAACATTTATATATTCTGAAATTGTGGGCTTATGGTTTTCAGTATTCATTTGGCCCTAAAGAATAGCACCAGTGCCGGTACTCAGTAAGTCAGTGGGTTTAATGGCGCAATAGGTCTCCATGCATTGCTTATTAAGTATCGGTAGCACACAATTTTGATACATTTTTGGCCTAAAAGAGATCTTAAAAACGCCGTCTGCTATTTTTTCTTTCTACTAATTCTTTCCTATTAAAAGAAAAACACATTTGTAGTCCTACATATAGTGATATCCTGCAACACAATTTGCAAAAACTGAGATATTTAGTTTATTAAAAAATATAAAAAGTTAAAACAGATATTAGCTTGAACCTTGTTGCATTTTTCATGTATATATTGTTTTTATTTTAAATTTATATTGTTCATATAAATTGTATGTTCTTGATGTGTTATATTAAACAAATGTATCTGGTAAAAAAAAACTGTATTATAGTTAAATTTCAAAGTTCTACCTGTTATTTTTATAATTTATTTTAGTTTGTGGTAACGATGAATGAGAGCATAAATAAGAGTCCGAGATATATCCGTTTTGCCATGGACTATCATAAGTGGCTATTGTACATTTTTGAAGTCACAGTCAATATGACATTGTCTAGAAGCAAAATGCCATAAAAATGAAAATGATAAAATAATGATTAAAAATTATTATATTCACAGAGATGTTTCCTAATCTAAATGCCGAGGCTAAGGGAAAAAAGTCTAACATAAATATTTTGCAGTTTTGGCAATTGAAATCTGGTTTTGTAACCACCTAAATGAGTTTTCCCCGTAATGTGATAAAGCTCAATCGAATTTCTGTAGGGAAACCATAAATATGGTAATTTGGTGATGGGCTGAATGTGTATTCAGTACAAACTAGTGGACTGGAGATTAAACATCAGCTGATACACATACAAGCAAAGAACACTTGCACTCCTAGTTGATGGAACTTATCAAAATTAGATGGTGTCTCATCTAAGAAAAAGAAACTCAGATTGCAAACTTCCACTTCCTTGTGGCTAAAAATCTATGGTTTGTGGCTCAGGGAGAAAACCCCAAAAGAAAAAAATCCGCAGAAGAGTGCCATATGTGTTGTGACAGTGTCTCGATGAAAATTCCGTCACCTGTTGCGACGCCCTGGTGCAAAGCTGTATCATCCACTTGATTTTCCCCTGGGGTCACCAGATGAGTGGAATCTAATGAATCATCATCCAATGAAAAACACCCATTGAGTCGGACGGGTGCAAATTTTAAAAAATCATTTGGTTAAAACAGAATCTCATGCTTGAATCCAAATACAGTAGATACTTACAATTCATCTACCTTATTAGGCCCACATCAAATAGTTAGACTACAAAAGGTGTCATCTCTAGGGGTGCATGTTGCAAAAGTTGACACAATCACAAGGTACTGACACTTAATTGGAAACATACAAATTCGACAAAGTCTTGAGTTAGTTTCATAACCAAGCTTATTGTGGAATCATGTTTAAAAGCAGACCTGACACAACACACACACTGAATGACCAAGTATAAAAATGTATATACAAAAGTTACATAAAAATATTCAACAGGGAAATTAAAATGTGATATTTTTTAATGATAAAAAATTGTCTCTTAAGGGATGAAAGATTCTGGATCAAGGTAACGAAAATGCTTTTACAGTGTCTGGAATCTAATAAAATGTTGAGACCCTCCGTCTCACCATGAAACAAAAAAGAATAATTAAGTTCTTTCAATGAATGTGTGGTAGGTTAACAAGTGTGGTCAACACTATTTTCTTGAATATTCATAACGTGTTGTATGGTGTTGTAGGATGGTGTTGTAGTTGTAGTGTAGGCCTATTGATCCTTTTCAGTCTGAGCTTCAGACTTCAAAACAAAGCTTTGAAAAAGGTAAAATATATTCGAGACTGTCGAAAACGGGGCTGGGCAACCAGTTGCCTCGAAAACCTTCAGAGATTAATGATTACATGAAATTTACCTTCAAATTCTGAAATATTTTCTGTAAGTAAAAGCATTTAAAAATTATAATTAATTATCACAGTCATCACAGAGTAAAATTGCCAAACAAACTTAAAAATAATAATTGTAATAACAGCAAATTACAAATTTTTCTGCTAAAGACCTCTGATTTTTTTGTGAAATGAAATCGGAGCCATTCTTAAGTAATAGCGTATATTTACGGAAATTCTCAAAAGTGTTGCAGGACACCCTTGCTAAAGGATCACACGATTGAACTATTGACTCTAAGTGGAGTCATTTACGAGATGCTGTGTACGATTCAGCCATGTCCGTCTACGGTAAAAAGGAGCATACAAATAATGACTGGTACGAGGCGCATTGGAATGTGATGGAACCCGTAATCGAGAGGAAGAGAAGAGCCCTACTTGCCTATAGAGAAGCACCTTGTGCTAGTACACTGCAGGCTCTCCGGACCGCAAAAAAATTATCACAGCAGACGGCCCGCCATTGTGCCAACACTTACTGGCTAGACCTTTGCAATTTCATACAATCGGCTTCAAACAACCGAGATGCAAGGAGCATGTACGAGGGCATCAAGGGAGCATTTGGTCCACACACGTCAAAAATAGCACCACTCAAGTCCAAGACGGGTCAAATTATCAAGAATCCAAATGATCAACTCCGCGTTGGGTAGAGCTCTATCTTCAGCTATACTCTACAATGGATGTAGTTACTTAGACCGCTCTCCATAATATTCCTGCCTTGTCAGTAATGAATGAACTGGATGAAGAGCCAACTTTACAGGAGCTCGAAAAAGCCATCGATTACTTTGCGGATGGGAAGGCTCCAGGGATCGACGGCATCCCAGCGGAAATCCTCAAAAATGGAAAACTTATCATATTTCAGCCCTTACATGAGCTCCTCTGTCTGTGTTGGGAAGCTGGTCAGATTGCCCAGGACATGAAAGACGCCAACATCGCAACATTGTATAAAAATAAAGGGGACCGAAGTGATTGCAATAACTACCGAGGTATTTCTCTCCTTAGCTTAGTTGGAAAGACTTTTGCCCGTGTTGCCCTTAAACGATTGCAGAGCCTTGCGAATTGCATCTACCCAGAGTCCCAGTGTGGCTTAAGGAGTGGGCGCTCAACAATAGACATGATATTTTCGCTACGCCAAATGCAGGTAAATGTCGCAAACAGCATATGCCTCTTTATATTGCCTACATAGACCTGACCAAGGCATTTGACTTGGTGAGTCGAAGAAGCCTTTTCAGTATCTTGCGAAGAATAGGTTCTCCCCCACGACTGCTCACAATAATACATTCATTTCACAAAAACACGCACAGCACAGTTACTTTCAATGTCACTGTCTCGAGTCATTTCCAGTTAGCAGCGGAGTGAAACAGGGTTGTGTACTGGCACCAACGCTCTTTTCAATTTTCTTTTCGATGCTCCTTCAGTTTGCTTTCAGTGACTGTGAAAATGAAGTGTACGTCCATACAAGATCTGATGGAAGACTGTTCAATATCGCCCGCCTTCGTGCAAAGACCAAAGTAAAAAAAGGTGCTGATTCGTGAACTGCTGTTCGCTGACGATGCCGCCTTAACATCTCACACAGAAGATGGTCTGCAGGGGCTGGTTAATCGCCTATCACATGCTTGTAAAGAGTTTGGTTTTTCGATTAGTCTAAAGAAAACTCATGTAATGATGCAAGAAGCACCGTCCCCTCTAATCATATCTAATGAGGGACATAATCTTTCTGTTGTACCTGGGATCAAATATTTCTAGTTCTCTCTCCGTTGATGAAGAGATAAGTATCAGGATTGCAAAAGCAGCAGCAACTATGGCTAAACTGAATAAGAGGGTGTGGAATAATCTCAATCTAACTGATAAAACAAAAATAAGTGTCTATCAGGCATGCGTGCTTAGCACGCTCTTATATGGTAAAGAAATGTGGACCACATATACCAGTCAGGAGCGGAAACTCAACAGCTTTCATCAAAGATATCTGCGTTGCATTTTGCGCATTCGTTGGTAGGACAGGGTGCCTAACGTGGAGGTTTTGGAACGTGCACACATGTTTAGCATATTCTCCTTTCTTATCAAGAGACGCCTTCGCTGGTTAGGTCATGTACGGAGAATGGAGGAAGGACGTATCCCAAAGATTCTGCTGTATGGAGAGTTGGCAGGGGGGACAAGACATATTGGACGACCGCGCCTGAGATTTATTGACGTTTGCAAACGAAGCATGAGGAAAGCCAATATTGAAACAAACGAATGGGATTTCATTGCCAAACATCGCTCCAACTGGCGTACAGCAGTGTTTGAAGGAGTGAAAAAGGCAGAAGTTACTCGAAACGAGGCCCTCGAATCAAAAAGAACAATTCGAAAATCAAGAATTTACCGGGACTCAATATTCTCCTGCGAGAGATGCGGCCGTGATTGCCATTCTAGGATTGGCCTAGTGAGTCACTGGTCAAAGTGTAGAACTGTATAGCTACTCCATCGTCTCACGAAGACGGAAGGATGCCATATTATTATATTTACGGTGTATTAATATTAAATATTATCACACGGCCCACAAAAGAATAAAAAAATCAAAGCGTTAAAGTCAAAGACGACAAAGACTAAGTGGCCCTATGCCCTATGCCTATGCACAAAAAAAGTTGTTATCCGAAAGTCAAGTCTGGGGAAAACACTGTAAAACAGGCAGAAGCTGTCAGACAAAGTCAATATTGGCAATATTTAACCTTTTGAAACTCACAGATGAATGGGACTTCCTAAAATCTTTCTCAAACTCTTGCTTACGTACTGTACTGTTTTACTGTTGTTAATTACTTATTAATTTCAATCAATTAATCAACAAATTATGGCATAGCTCTGAGTATTAGTATTATTGCCAGTATTATTACAGTATTGTATTACTATTCTCCAACAAAGAATTCACTAAACCATCAAAACAATTCTTGTGTTTCTTTCTATATAATTTTTTAAAAAAAAAAAAATCAATTTTAACTTTAAACACGTTCAATCAAAGTGATGAAATGTATGGTAAATTTCGAGAGATCGCCCCGGGTTTCCGCCTTCTTGGTTGACACAACCAGTGGTAAATTTCGAGAGATCTCCCCGGGAATATACACTTATTAATCGAACAATGACAAACATAAATTACATACACCATAACTATAACACAAGCCTGAAACGAAATATTTGTTTCTTTTCTTATTCCTTTATTATATTTTTTAAAAATTAAATTTTTTAACTGCTAGTGCTGACAGTCATACATTAAAGCCATTTTACATAAACATAAACAAGTCATAAGAAGCTGGGTCAGAGTATATTAAATTTAAATTATATTTAAAATTAATTTATGAAGGCCGTTTTAGCTTTACTTCTTACCAAAATAATTAGTAAAGCGTGATTTAGGGCTTTATTGTTAAGAAAAGCTATCACAAAGCTTCTAATAAACCATCTGACTAGTCTAATCTGGTCTACTTTTATTAAATTGTAAATTTTGTCTAGTCTTGTTTTTATTAGTATTTTATCATTTCATAATCATCATACATAGATAGAGACGCCACAGTCTTATGTCTGGCATTAGTCATATTTACTTACCTTACTGTTACACTCCTTTACAGTACAGTTAATAACTTTGAATTTGAACTTGAGAGGAGACAAAATTGAAGTTGAGTTTGAATTAACTAATAAGGAAGGGCCTAAAAAAGTTAAAGCTAATCAAGTCAATTTTGAATTGTTTTAGTTTATTAGTGGATTGATCCTAGAGACTAAACTTTTAAAAATATTAATACTAATACACCAAAGGAATGTTTAGTAAAATATTGAGGTTGTTTGTTTGTTTAAAGATTAGTGATGAATGGGTTTCTTTTCATATTTATAAATGGCAATTTAAGAGGTAGACTTTTTTTTAGAAACATAAAATTGTATATTTTTTATTTTAAAATAGAGAAATTATTTGTTAATTGAGGTACTCTAAAATTATGCAGATATAGAATAGAAAAGGAGTGATGAAGCGTGCGACAAAAATAATGTTACATCGGTAAATTTACGCAATCCGTGCCACTTATTTCCCTCAGCCGCCATCTTGGTTGCCTTGACCTGTGACCAAGGGTCAAAGGGTCATGGCCATCAAGATGGGGATCATGGTAGTGCAAACACATGCCTGGTAAAATGGTGAGGGTAAAGAGAACATGCTGTTTTAGGTGATTACTGACAAAAACGAAAAATAGGAACAAAATGTTAAAATTTAACGAAATAATGTTAGCTGGTACATTAATTTCGTGGTGCACGTAGCAACTTTATTGTATCCCTCTAGACTCTAGATTTGTGGCAAGAAGTGTCAACAACTTGCAGGCCCTCCTTTCCTGGTGTAATTTCAAGAAAAACAATACAAAATATTTTTAAAATGATGAAAACCCAGCTGACAGTTTCATAGACATAGAATAAACTTTTACACCCTTCATTGGGGGTTCCACCAAAAAGAAAAACCAAAAGTTGTCAGAAAATTGATTCGATGCAATACTCTACCCATTTTCCAAAATGCAGGAAAATTTAAATATTACAATTAACCACCCAATGAAATGATAATTCCATCTGCGCATTAGAGAACAGTTTACTCAAGTAATAATCCAAGAATAAACAAAAAGGAGAGAATCCTACACAGAAACTGAACAGAAGTGGTGTGGATTGCGTAAATTGACTGTTCCATCTTTGTAATGTGCTCACTTTCACTGCTATTCCAGTGCAATATGACCACGGTAAGTTTGACATTTTTGTATCACTCTCGATTTATGCTCAAGTTGAATGGGGGGTGGGGATGGGACCTATATTTATGGTGGATTTTATGCTTGACTTAGGCATGCTGACTTAGTATTCAGGTTATGTAGAATTATAAAATTTTCTAAAATTTAAGGGTGAATTCACGCTTAAGTGTTGAGGGGGGGGAGACTAACTTTAACTTTAGGGTGGAATTTATGTTAGAGTTAGGGATACTTACTTAGCATTCAGGTTACGTTGAGTTGTATATTTTTTTTATAAAAAATAAATTTATGAAATTTGCATGCGTTTTGCAAATTGTTTAAGTTTTTATTTTTAATTTATTGAATTTTTCACTTCTTCCAATTATTTGTTAAATTTTCTTTAATATTATAATTTTTATGCAATGCACGCTGTTTAAAAAAAAACAATACAACCTCTTTGTTTGAATGTTTTTCTATTAAAAAAAAACAATTGTAATGAATTCCTTATCTTCCTTTCTTTCGGTAAGTAGTTGAAACAATACATTCCCTACCTTTCCCCTCCCTATTTTAGCAGAAGTTTCTTTGCACTATTTTGTTTTGTTAACACAGCTGCCATCTTTGTCTGCTGTCATGGCAACAAAGATGGTGGCAGTGGGAAAAAAAAGTAGTTCAAAAACACCTTGAAATGAGTAGCGTGGATTGTGTAAATTTACCTGAACAAATTATACTTGATAATTGATAACCCAACTCCTGACACCGCCTTACTACTTCACTACATTTGCTTTCTCTACAGACAGAGTATTACCCTACAAGTATCTACTCCAGTAGTCCATTAGTAGATACACTGAAAAATTATAGAAGTGGATTAGCAGTGATCTAGTATTGGTCAAGTTTAACAAAATACAGATATAAATATATTGGCATATCAAAGTTTTATTTAAAAGTATTACATTTCAGTATTCTCAGAAATGAGAAGCAGCAAAAGACAAAACCATTTCTAAATGATGGATCATCCAATGGTTTGATCAAATCAAGAATGTAGATTCAGCAGAGAATGCCTTTGACGCTGCTATCAATGAGCATTGATAATAAATATTTTCAATTATTCAGGCTTATGCTCCCTACGAATAATTTCAATAATGTACATTTTAACAGTGACATTTAGCTCTCATTAAGCTGTGCGCTGTCTGTGTCATACTAATGTAGCCATATGCTACATTCATTAATGACAGTATTAATGTAGCTATATTATATAACTGTATTACATCTGAAATTATTTTCTAATTATCTATTGCTTACCATGCTATATTTTTAAAATTAGAATGCAGTTCAGTTTGCTTCTAGTTTTGTGTGAACTGCTTACATTTCTGAATGAAGGGGAACGATTTTTAAAATGAAAATCAAAGTGAAATTTGATCAAGAAAGCCGAATTATAGACCTTGGACAGATAGACCCCTCCACCACTTCACTGGAAGCAGTGAAAATCAGAGTAACAGCAGAATTTCATTTAGAAGGGCAGTGAGTAAATATAATATTTGCTAACATTGTAATAAATATCTGGTGCCATTAATTAGCCAACTGATCAGAGAGGAACATCTTTCTAATAACTATAATCACAGGGAGATAAATGAACTGTTCAATATGTGATAAAAGTAGTGTGCCCCTTTGTAAGGTGGGTTCACTAATTCAATAAATGATGCAAGGATAAATTATGGGTTTAGAAATGGAAGAGTGTGTTATTGTTTCAAGTGTGTAAGAATACAATCTGCAAATCATGGAGAACTGAAATGTTTGAAGAATGAATAATCACCCCTTACTTGTGTCTAGAGCAGTAAAGTTTTGTTCCTAAAGATTATGAGGTCACTAGTATTGTTATTTGTCTCAGCTGTTTATTTAATATGTATAGATAGATAGATACTAAACAAATAATTTCAAACTCCACAAAAAAATAAAGCTTTCTACTTTTCCCCATTTTAAATTGCAGTGAATTTCATCTCAGCTTAAATAAAAATGATGCGCTTACAGATGAAAGTCAACTTTTAGCAGACATTGGCATAGTATCAGGGGATCTGCTTCATATAATTGGTCCAGGATTTTCACAGGTCTGTATTTAACTTAATTTGTTAATGTTTTTATGTAGCGTTTATAAGGTACCATATCACATATCACCTGAATTACAATTTTAAACTATAGATTGCTTAATTATTTTCTTTGGAAAAGAAATAAAAAGATACTATATTTTGTAACAGTATTTTCAGCACACAAAAAATCTGGGTTTTAATTTTATTAATTTATTCCAAATCAGACAAATGGGGTGAGAACTGAAGAACAATTAAGGAATAGACGTCAGCCCCTGGCACCATATTCTGGGGAAAATGCAAGCCCTTTTCAAATGAACCATGGCCAAATTCCATTAGTAAATGTAAATGCTGATGCCCACATGTCAACAACCAACATTACAGCAGTTAGCTCTCTTTCTGCGATGTCTGTTGGTTCTTATGAAGACCTGCAAGGACGTGATGAGGTAAATTATGAGTTGTCTAAGACTTTTTAAATTAACATCCAAACATCATGTATTATTTTGGGACAGAGACTGATAAAGGGAGATTTATCTTGAAATATTTTAATTTTTTTTTATTTTCAAAATACTCTTTTACAAAACTGTACGAAAAATAACACACAAAAAAACTGTTTGGTTTTTAGTGTTACTGTCTTAGGCTTAAAAGCAGTTTAAAATTTTTAAAAAAAGCTTATTAGCAATACAAATGTATATTACTTCATATAAAAGATCATCTCATCTCATTTAAAAAAAAAAGCTTATTAGCAATACAAATGTATATTACTTCATATAAAAGATCATATCATCTCATTAAAAAAAAAAGCTTATTAGCAATACAAATGTATATTACTTCATATAAAAGATCATCTCATCTCATTTAAAAAAAAAAGCTTATTAGCAATACAAATGTATATTACTTCATATAAAAGATCATATCATCTCATTAAAAAAAAAAGCTTATTAGCAATACAAATGTATATTACTTCATATAATAGATCATCTCATCTCATTTAAAAAAAAACAACAGGAAGGGAACAAAGCAAAGAGAGCCAAGACTGAAGAGGAAATGTCTGATATTAACAGGTGAAAATATGAAATGAGGAGACTTAACCAAAGTTAGAAAAAATACAATAGCAGTTGAATAAAACTTTACATGGGAGAAAACAAGCATTTCAACAGAAACCCTTGACCACCAGCAATACTTATTATGAAAGAAAACTAAAAAAATGTGGGAAGGGAAGGGAGGAAAAAAAAGATAGAGGTCAGTTTCAGAATGAGGTGTTTGAGAGTTGAGAATCGTAAGAGTATTTTATTTTGAAAAGGGAGTCTTAAATTTCACTTAACTATAAAAATCACACTGTTTTAATACGGTATAAAGATGTGAAAGCGAATTGAATTTTTATTTGGATAAAACAAATTGCATTCATTTATTTAGCCTATATATTAAAAAATGGGATTTAACTATAGGATGAATAAAGGAATGGGATTTAATCATTCATTAGCACTACCAGTTGCACATATATGTCAAAGAAGGAATTTTAAAATATTTTATCTATAATTTTAAGAAAAATTTAAATTCATCAAATTTGTTGAAATATGCTGTGAACAAATAGGTAAAAATTTTTTGAGATCAGTTGGACTGTTCTTGCCATTAACAACTACAATATGTTTCTGTGTGTCAGATATCTCAGTGAGCCACTGGTTGTACGGGAATCCACAGCAACCCAAGTACCGATTCTCCTCCATCAGTTGTATGTTTCTGCTGATTGTAAAGGCCCAACAGATGCACTTTGGGTTGTGTTGCATGCTCTTATGTTAGAATCAGGCTTTGTTCCTAATGAGGTTAGTTTTTTTAGCACGTTTTTTTTAGTTTAACAAGGCTAGATTTGTTTTAGTGACATTGGTAGCTGTAGCAAAGAAATAATAATAAAAATGTCAATTTCAAGATCTACTTTCGGTTGGCTACAAGTACAATAGTAGCAGTAAAGCCTTTTAATACCATTTAATTTTTTTTTGTTCATCCTGTAAAAGTGGTTTTAAAAATAAATGGTTATCTCATCATAGTTATAAAAAGAAACACACTTCTAGATTTAATAATTGATAAAGATTTTCATAACATAATTTCGAAAATAACCAAAGTCATATGCATCAGGATCAAGATCCCAGTCTAATGCCTAGTGACTGGAAAAAATCTGGCTACTACGCCTGCACCTACCAATACACTGTTTCATCAGACACTGTAACAAATTGTTCGATGGTTGGAGTTACCATGGGGACCTCCATGGCAGTGCATGGTATGTGATTTGGAACTGCATAAAACACTAAAATGTTCTGGTTTTCTTTTGGTTTATAAACTTAGTTGGGAAAACTAGTTAGATATTAAGTTATGCATACTTTCTTATTTCACACATTTTTATAAAAGTGAGAGAATTTTGTATTTTAATTGTTCTTACTATGTTAAATTAACAAAATTTCCTTCATCTTCTCTTATATGTACAGCTATAAAAAATAATGCTTTTTCTGATTAATTTTTTCATCAGCTTACCCTAAAGTGGGTGAAAATTACAAAACTGACCATTTGCAGCTAAAAGCTGCTGATTTTGTAAGACTTTTATCAAGCAGTAAGTGTTAGCATTTTTAAATATTTTGTATTACCTAAATTAAGACAATGAAACATGAAGCATTATCACTTTCTTAATTCAAACAACATTTTTTTAAAAATTTGTACAATATTACAGCTCAATTACTTATTATTTTTAGATCCTCCAGAGGTCTACAGAGCACTTGACAGGTTATCTCGACAATTCATGGACACAATTAGCCTACCATTAATTAATGAATTAGACACAGGTACAGCCCAAAACATCAACCTTAATTAAGAAATAAATATAAGTAAGCAAGTTAATAAAAAATATAACTAACCATGCAAATAGTTTAAATATTTTTTTAACAGTTTCATACTACTAGTACTACTATATGATTATTTTTTCCCTCAGTTTTTATGCTACTAAATATCTTGTTCTCAGCTTATGTCAGACTCCATATTGTTGTAGCTAACTTATTCCAACAAACTGATCCAATAAACCATATCGATTGTATGAATGGATATTAACAATAATTGCTTCTTGGTGTATCTATATGATTTATAGTTTGAATTTTACAGCTGCTGGGTTCCCAGGAAGGCAAGGTTTATTAGCACTACCATATGTAGCCAAGGTAAGCTGTAACAAATGAGAAATATTACTGTTAGTTTACTAACATTTTTGCCTGCCTCTTAATAGAGTATAACAATAACACTTTCATCACGCTGTTCTGGTTGCCGCACCTGTGTACATTTCAATGTTCCTCAAGAAAGGCTCGTGAATAAAAAGATTATTAAGCATTGCAAGTTATCCTCCAAACTTCAAGTGCAAAATAGTCTGCTATCAAATGTGGCTCATGTGAACAGTTTTATGATTTCATAACGTAGACAGTTTTTATGATTTCATAACTCAAGATTGTCATGTACAGTACCATAACATTATGAAGTTTAACTGCCCTCTTAGTCTCTGTATTTTTTTTGTTTTGAAATTTATGTTATGTAACAATTTTTATGTTACACTAGTTATGCTACACTAGTAACAGTCATAAACAATAATAATATCTTGTAATAAGCTCCCCTTGATCTTAATACTTGCTAGGTGTGTTTTTTATTTTCATTTTCTTTTCCTTCTCTGTCACTTTCCATTTTCTATCTAAATAATACAGCACAATAAAAATTGTTTCTGAAGAAAATATAATTTAGTAGGCAAAAATCCATTTCTTCTTTTGATAAACATATAATTAATGCAATATTTTATTGTCAACTTCAAACAAATAGAAATACTTAAGAGCAGAGTTCCCCAAATAGTAGTCCGGTCTGGGAAATAAATTAATCTTGCGCTAGTCCCTGGTGCAATTTTGAAACGTGTCCACCAGTTTTGGAACATTTTTGGTTTAGAACAGGTCTCTCGCTGTTATCTTTTACTTTCTGGGGTCAGTAGAAATAGAGAAAAAAACTCCTGAATAATCAAGAATTGTAAAATTTTTATAGAGACTTTTTAATATTATCTATGATCAGCTTTGAGGCATATACAAGTTTTAATGATTTTTTACCATTATTGGTTGGTCTTTATTTCAAAAAAGGAATAGAAAATATTTTTTCCTTGACAGTAAAAGTCATTTTTAATTCCTAAGATGCCAAAGTTAATGTTGCATACGCAGTAATTAAATCAGTTTTTTTTTTCCTTCTTAAAGTTGAAACTATTGTCTTTCCTTGGAGCGAAAAGTCTCTGTCGACTTGGACAGACTTGCCAGGAATTTGCTGCTCTTTACAAAGATAAGACATTATGGAGACTTCTCTATATACGAGATTTTGGAAGTGAGACAATTTTACATACATTTATGTTTTTATCCATAAGTTATGGTATTTATATCAAGTAATGCAATATTTTTTCATAGTGGTATCAAGAAACTGTCTGACTTCAACAACCGCAACGAGGTCGTTAATAGATTATGAGCTTTAATAAGTATATGTTTATAGTTAATATAGACATATATTTAACTTTACTGTGATATTCTTTCCCTAGAACCTGATGATTGCAGTCTGTCCAGAAATTGGTTTGATGTAAGAATACGCATTTTTACTTTCTCTCTCTTACATTTGTATTAGCAAAACTTATATTTCCTTAAAATTATTGTTTGTCACATATTTAAAAAAATATAAAACATTTACTTTTAACTAGAAAATGTAGCACATGCTGGCCTAATCAATCATAACTAATAATATAGTCATTTGCTGTTGGTATTTTTGTGTGATCATGGCTTATAGTTATCTGTCTTCATTCAAATAAAAAAAAAAAAGATTTACAAAGCTCAGCATTTAAGGCGAATGGAAGAGCTTGAACAGAGAAGACGGTTGTTTCATGTTGACGCAACGGACCCACCATGGGGATTTCCAATTGGACCATTTAGACCCATGGCACCAAGGGTGCCGTTCCCGAGAATGCTTGGAGGCGATTATGATCTGCACCCTGAGTTTGCAGCTGGTAAGTACTTATTTTATTTTTCTCCATTGTTTTTATGGCTGGCGTGAAATATTTATATGTTGCTATGGTAGTGGTTACTCCCGGCTCCCAATGAAAAATTTAAGATAATAGCAAAAGAATCTGAAACTTCAAAACCCTTCAATTCATGATTATCTTTTCAATTGGGTTTATTCTTAACATTCATCAAAAAATTTTTTTTAAGGGTTTCCTGATCCGTTTAACAGAAGACCGCAGCTTCCAAATGTTGTTATTCCAAACCCTTTGTCTGGCGACCTGACTCTTGGAAGGCCCGGTCGAGGCAATATGACAGGTTCACCTTTCGCACACAATACATTTCATGGACCTTTCATGTAAGATTTCAACAAACCTGAGAGTGAAATTATGCTTATGTTAAGAACTGCAAAACGTTTATTCATATACAATATTTTTTTACAAACAGGCCAATGAAATAAAACTACTAAATTCAATCTTCAATAATCTCTTATTTGATTAAGTTTTTATCAACTGTTCATTAAATGCTTGTTGTGTCTTAGTTTTATTGATAAAGAGTCAATTCTCCAAGGATGCAGATCCAATTATGAGATCCTGTACACATTATTTCTTTGGAGGTGAAACTTTACTTCAGATTTATTGATACATATTAATTAACTCAATTATTTAAACATAATTCCATTTTAATGTGTTTTTTTTTTTTTAAAGATTAACATAAGTAATACTAAAAAGCATTGCTTTGAAGAACTTATATATAAGCTATTGTTACGTTTTCATTGGGTTAAATGAAATAAAAGTTAAGACTAGGTAATGACATTCTGTCGGCTGCCTTGGGGGAAAGTGAAGCCAAATGACTGATCTATTTATACAGTTAGAGGTTTTACGTATAGGTCAAGATCACCATAAAAAAAGCTCCCAAAAAAGGCTGAAAAACAAAATACTACAAGGTGGTTTGTAAAAAAAAATTTGAAAATTCCCTTTGCTTTTATATTTTGACTGTGTGCCTCCACTGTAAAGTTATACATTGGCCCAGGCCAGTTTCTATGGACATATTTGAAGATTATATAATAATCAATAAATTTAAAAGGCAGTTAATACTACATTATTAGTATTATTCGTCAAACATATAGAGAACAAAAACAATTTAAAATATGAGTCAGTTTATTCCTCACAAATATTTCATGAGTAAAATTTATATTTAAGTGCAATGCCTATCTGATTCAAACACAATGTGCACAGAATTTTCTTTTTATGCTGCAATTGTGAACTGACATAACAATATGCTGTGCACGCCGGAACACAAGAACATCCGCCAGTCAATTTATCTAAAGTTGGAACTAATGTCTTAAAGTTAAAAGTTGTCCATCCTGGCTCCTAGATGAAGCTTGAAAGTCAGTGTGTTTGGCGTTGTCACATCCGCTACGTACAGCTCTTGGCCATCTTCCAAGCCAAGCTCTGTCGGATTCACAAGTACAAAATAAGATTTTAAAAAATGGTCTTTTAAAGGTTTAAAAAATACTCTTACATTTGCTTGTTTTCAGTAGATCAATTAGACACAAACAATTTGTGTCGATAAAACCACATACAGACCTGCCAACCTGACAAGATGAAAAAATCTTTAGGGAGGGTGTGAGAGGGGGGGTCGCCCCAAGGGACCGTTTCCTCCCAGTTACTTCACAAACTAGTTGGGTGGTGGAAACCCACTGTAGAAACCCTCTTAAAGGGCGTCGGATGCTTCCCTAGGATGGGTGGGGGAAGATATTAGGATGTAAATTTACCATCCCGATGGTGTGCACTGTGTGTATGCACAGTGTCGGACCGACCTGGTGTCCTTGGGTTGGGACAGCTCCAGCGAAACCCAATCAAGCGGACTCTTGTGGGGGGCTGTCCTGGCAAAGGGACATCCCCAACTTTGCGGCCCGATACCCGGGCTTAGGGGGGGGTGCTTTGCGGAGGGCAAAAGGAGCTTTAGCTCGACGGCCCGGTGATGCCATTTCCTAATGTCTAATTTCAGTAAATAAAGAAATATAAAGTAACCTTCATTGTTTTTTTAAAGAGTCCACAGAACATGAGAGAAACATTACTGGAAACATTTATAATATACAGATATATACAGGACAGAATATCCTTTTTATTTACATGTGTACACTGGCTGCTAAGAGTTCAATTTTCCTGCATAGCCCTTGTGGCCTTTTTGTACTTGTCCAACTGGCGGTTAGCATTGCAACGGATTTTAGTTACAACTTGTACAAACAAGTTAGAAAGAGTATCAACTTTCATGCTTGTCCTGTTTCATTGTAATAATCATTGTAATTTTTCTTCACAATCTTCTCACAATCTGCTTGTCTGGAAACATTTCTTTGACTCTGGCATTAAAAAGATCGGAGTTGGCTAGAGAAATATTTCCTTCAATAGGAAAGGTGGTAAATAAAACTTCAGATCTGATAACTGAATAGTCCGATTCCTTAGCAAAGAAATTTGCCATGGATGTTGTAGATTTACTGTGTCACTGCTTTTAGCTGCAGTTGTATGTTTTTCTTTTGTTAAAATATGTTCATTAATATCATTGTACCTACCACTAACACTAGATTTATCCACTTAATTAAGAAAAGCTTTTAAAAAAAAAGTCTGAATTATTTTTTAGCCTAGTAAAAGAATGAATCACAATGGGATCAATTGATGATTGAAGAATGCTTTGGAGATCGCGGTTCGCTTGTTAAAAAACAAGGCAGTGTCTACACATCTGGCAACCGGACAATTAGTGCGGGAGATATTTATCTGGCTGGCATATCACGCTTTATACTGGCATATCACGCTTTATAACATAGTCACTTTTAACCATTTGTTCAATCTATTTACCAGCAATGGTTCGAGTATTTCTTTGGTAGCATTGAACATATTTCTGTTTTATGTAAATGTCCAGGCTATCTTGAATTTGTTGAAATGACGTACTGTAAACTTTGATCGACTATTAGTGGTCGCTTCAAAAGGCTGACAGGAAAAATAGTTCGCACATAATAATATCTCGCGCAACTTTGCTATGGCGGTCATGTGACAGGTTGAATATATAATAGCTGGACGAATATCTTGAGAACTTATTCATCCCGTCACCGGACATGTAGGCACTTCGCTTCGACAAAGGCATCATCGAAATTCACCACTTCCTGTCCTACTCGATTTTTTTTTCTTTCCGCTTTTGGATTTTGATGACGGGTGAAAAATTATAATGTTTGGAAAATCTGAATTTTGAGGGGTTTGTCAGAAGGTTGGAATTAGGGGTAAAAAACCTGTATAACTCCGATAAAATCGGAGGGGTTGGCAGGTCTGAAGATATGTTCAGCTTTAATGATGATTTTACTGCCTCAGTACGGCCTGCCTCAGTTCGGCCTGCGTCAGTACGGCCTGCCTCAGTACGGCCTGCTCAGAAAGTTCTGTCAGAACAGGTTTTTTGAGACACACTTTTCTAAGAAAATATATATATATATATATATATATATATATATATATATATATATATATATATATATATATATATATATAAATATATATATTTACATACACAGTTCCTATAGAAGTTTTTTTTAAAAACATTTACTTGTATATTATATTGGGAATAAAAAGACTGAATATGTAAACTTAGACAAAATGCAAATTTATACTGGTACCAACTTACATTATTATTGTATATATTACTTTTAACCCGTATCTCTATATTATTATTTTAAAAATATTTTCTTTAAAAAGTAAAATAATGATTAAACGGAGATCTTACACAACGCCTGCTTTAGACACAGCTTCAAACAGGAAAAACAACTACAAGAAGCTAAAATTTTATTAAACATTAATTAGATCACAAATATCTACTTTAAGCTTTAAGGTAAAGAATATCCCCTGTCCACCCAACCCACTTCTTAATATATATTGTAAGACCTAATATCTTAATGTGTTTCCTCCAACAAGTGCATCACTATGTCCATTCAAGTAATAACTAAGCATAAAGAGTCATGTTGCAAGTGGCAATGTACCTTTTAGAGTTTTCTTCAGGTTTTCCCTTGTTTTTTCCTCTATTGATTTGACTGTTTGCATGTAGAGTGTCTTGTTCTTCCCTTCAACACTTGTGGTCACCCCAGGACTCTTCATCTGGCTAAATTATAAAAGGAGTCTCATATTCTTTGTTTGATCCCAAGTACCGGTATATCAAACTCTTATATTTTGCATAGGTTCACTTTAAAGGAGAAAGGTTTAACATCTTCAAAATCTAACATTCAGCATTGGAAGAATTCATATAACTTAAGAAAGAAAAAAAACAAAAAAACACAAGTAATAATTCTCCAGCGATCTATGTACTGTTGTGGTCAATGGGCGAGCAAAATAAAATTCCTAGAAGTTAGCACTAACTGTGATTCTCATAAAGTGTGTTACTTGAATGCAAATTTTGTCAAGTAACTTTAGTTGATGGGAAGTTCAAGCATTGCTGCAGACATTGTTTGCAGGGTTCGGTTATGTTTAGTTATGAGTAAAAATACTGCAGCCTTTTACTTACTAGGTAGCATTAACTTGAAGATGTGTTAGAATTTCTTGAAGTTTATCTGTTTCTGTAAAAGTGAGGACCTGAGGTGTGTTGCTGCAGGCCAGACAACCTTCCTGGAATAAAAAAAAAAGAAATTTAATTTTTGTTCTCTCAGTAGGGGTTAACAAATTATTTTAAATTATGTGAAGCTGCATACATTTATGACTATCATACTGTCTAATAAATCTATTATTGATGTGTAAATAAATAATAAGTTTGCAGGTTAAAAATGAATTCTTTATCTTGTCGAAAGAATTGTAATTAATTATCATGTATCAAGATTTTGTTTTATGAAACTCAATTTTAAGAAAATGTTTCATGTATATTTGATTATCTGAATTGTGTTGTAGAATGCCGGAAGACTTAATACAAACCAGCTTTTCTGCTTCAAATGTGTAAGTGTAGACACCATTTGTGTCATTGAAGTTCATGTAGTTGTTGAGAGGTGCACAGCAACTGCAATAATTCAAAATAAAAAGCAGACAACTAAATGAAACTATTATTGAGTCTAAAATCTGATTTCAACAATAGATAATGAGCCTGACAACCAAAAATATGAAACTAAATGAACTCAGACTTGGTGCAGTCTTGAATTCAGTACCAGACTCAATCCCGAGCAAACATTAATTTATTTGAAATATTTTTTTTTAAAACTTTTTTTCATAAATACCTTGTGGCCAGTTTAAAGACTTCAGTGGCGCAAGCAGCTGTTTAGAAATGTAAAAGAAAATGAAAATGATGATTACCTCTAGTTCTGAGAATCTTGTACAACTAACAGTCGAATAACTGGCTATCACTCTGGCAGCACTTAATAAATACAACTCTTGTTTTATTCAAACGACCCTGTGAATCCGCAAAGCTATTCAATACAAAGTCATCCCCAGTGTTTCTAGACTATCAAGTACGGTATGTAGGAACCAGATTTGATGAGACAAATTGATAAAAGAGATGCACTCTCGTATTCTCTACAATAGCTATGTTAAAGCCTTTATTCACGTTTATAAATGCAGCACTCAACAATTAAGGATGTGATGTGCATGACATGGGTTGGTAAGGGGGAAAGGGGGGGGGGTCTTCTGTTATAAAGCTATTGCCTATTGTTTTACCAAAAATTCACAATATTATCTCAAGCCTACACACAAATTTATTGCAATTTCTCACCCAATGGATAGTAATTAATAATTAAGTATACTGACCAGAAGTTGTCAAATTTCATCTTATCTTAATATGCTTAATCAGGAAAACGGGGCTGAAAAGAAAAATAAGATATTAACCATGGGCCTCTTTACCTGAAATGACAGCATTTGTAGAGGCTACAGCAGGCATGATCCGTTTAACCACACCTATAAGAGAGAACCATTTATTAAATAATAATCATATAAAGTCTCATAGAGCTACTTCAAAGGGGTCAAAGTTCAAATAGTTCACAAGCTATGAAGCCCTTACCATAGTGCATATTAAACAAATTAATAATATTGGAAATTTTTTTTTTCAAATGCACACTCCAGTCCAAATGCTTATACCTTGGGTAAGCCTATAGTTGACTCCTGCAATGTTGTACTGACTGGCTCTCTCCTGGGATTTCTCTAATATCCATTTTATATGCTGGGGGTCATCTCCGTCAATGGATACTCCGGCTGAGAAAATGACATGATGATTTCAGTTGGTTGAATCATTTTTTTTAAAAAAAAGGAAAAAAATATTCCCACTGTTATTCCTGCCTTAGTTCTAAATAATATACTTAAAATGAAATATGTTTAAAAAAATTGAATTCAAAAAGTGCATTACTACTGTAATAAAAATGAAAGCACTTAGTAGACCAGCTTCAAGTATAAAATCAATACATTTAATAATAATGGACCTCTTCAGGAGGGTCAATAAACTTTATTTTCAGAAAAAAAAAAAAATTAAAAATAATGATACCTCCAAAAGGTTCTTCCTTTGGCCAAAGGAGTATCCTGACAAACTCTATGCAGTGCTCTGGCAACCTGGGAGTGTGAGCGATAGTGCACAGGGGGAAGTTAACCTGCATTTAAACAAAACATTCATGTAAGCTGTTGAATCACATGTGAAAGGCAAGATCTGTTCATTATTAGGAATTATGTAACATTCCCTAAGGCTAGTGAATACATTACTGACCCAGGTGCTTATTGGTGCATTCAAGTCAGGATGTGGAAAAAATGTTTTTTTTTAAATTTTTTGTGTTGCAATTAATTACAACCACAGTGACTTACATTGCCATTTGTTTGTATTGAGGGAGCATTAGTTAAATAAGGACAAATAGATTTACTAGAGTTTGTGTGCATGTGACCCATACGTCAGTTACTTCTCTCCCTTATAACTATGTGACCCATAAGTCAGGTACTTCTCTCCCTTATAACTATGTGACCCATAAGTCAGTTACTTCTCTCCCTTATAACTATGTGACCCATAAGTCAGTTACTTCTCTCCCTTATAACTACAATCCTCACCTGTGGAGGATATAGACCAAGTGTGCACTCTACACAAGCTGTAATGCCAGGAAGTATGACTCTTGCATTGCCTTTGAACCCTTCGGTGCCACCATCCACCATTGGAATGAGACTAGATTGGTCAAGAACACCTTCTTCATACTTTAACATACTGATCTGTGAAAAGGAGTGCAGTCTCAAAATTAAATCTGCCACAATTTGTTTAATAGCATATCTTATATGTAACTACTATAAATAAGCAGAAATAATTTGAGATTTGTTACTACCTGCTTTAATTATAATAAACATATATATTTTTTGGAATAAAGATCAGAAGCATTTCTGAAACATCTTTTAAAATGGGCCTACAAAATAAAACAGAAATGATCCGACTGCAAAATTACATAAATTTATATTGAATGATAATAAATGTATCTTATTTTTTAATTTTGATTTAACAATAACATAAAATGCAAAACGAAACAAAGTGACACTTACTAGCATTCCATTTATCCAACGACGGGCTATTATTGAGTCCAGCCCACAAACCACAATATGAAAATCTAGAACAATAATCAAAATGAAATTGAGGAACGAAACACTTTTAAATGAAAGAAAAGCATTTCTTCATAAAATGTGACATTTTGCATGATTAACATTTTGTTGTATCTTTCTTCACTCACCCCTATAAAACTGCTCATCAAAGTCTTGGATCTTTGCAAAATGTCTTTCTTTCATAAGGAAGTTTTGAAAAAGTGTTAACTCAATATATTATACATCGTCATTCATGGACTCAATCTACAGCACGACCCTCCTAGTTTTGTTTTGAAAAGGATACGGCGTTACTCTACAGCCAGGAACTCTAGAATTGATGAAAGCTGCGGCCACATCAGCTTTAGCCCGACCAACATCTTTTGCCCTGGTTGAAAGAAAATAATTTGTTAAAAACAATTATACTACACATTTAAAAAAAAAATTGTTTTGAAACTATACATGTCATTTAAAACTAGGACTTGAAATTTTCATTTCGAATTATCTAAAATGTACATACCTGAAGAGAAACTGTCGGTTTAAATTGGAAACATCAATTGTGTCCATATCAATCACATGAATATCCCTGAATCCCATCAATGCCTAACAGAGAAATTATTTGAAATAATGTTTTTAAAACAAACATCGACAGAGCATAACTGAAATAAAAATTTCTGCACTAAGTAAACATTGATCTGTGTAGTGAATTTCACTGAAGTTTTCAGAGGACCATTGATTGATGGACATTTTATATTCCTAAGTAAGTACATAAACAAAAATGAAGCTGTGTATTTAATGATTACAATACAGTTGTAAAATACTTAGTTGGAAAACTTTTATTAAAATAAGGTGAAGTTTTTTACCTCTTGGTTCGGGTATTTTGAGACCAAAAAAAAGAGTTATCTTCTCAAATATATAAGAATAGCTGATGTCGCAAAGTAAGGCTGAGTTATATAGCGTACAAAATGAAATTCCCGACAACTATACAAATCAGCCTGCATATTCGTGTTCAGTAGCCACAAAATATACAATGCTTTTTCCAAATTAGATTCTTAAAAACAATAATGGTAAGTTGTTGTTCTTTTAAACAAATCGAATCAATTTAAATCTGATAAAATAAATCTGATTTTAAACAAGTATATGTAAACCATAATATGTAAGTAAAATTTATTATAGATTAGAAATAAAATAAATATTATACTTAACGAATCATTTTAAGTATTTATCAGAATTTGAGACTTAAGAAACTGTTTAAAACAAGATTGGCATGATTGGCATTCTTATCATCTACGCATTACTCTTCTAAATTTGAAAGCAAATATATATTAAATACATTTTTTTATGTACTTGGAAAATGTCATTGCCATCAAATCAACATCTGAAAACCCCAAAATGTTACAATCTTGAATATCGGCATATTTAAATCTTTAAAAAGAAATTGTGAACTTTTTCTATTTTTTCATTTCATTGGCAAAAAAAAAAAATGTTAGTGTGGCTGCAGCACCAATATTAATATCCAAATATCGATATCTCCAAACCCAATTATATTACAGATTTGATCGTTCGTAATGGTTTTAATTTGAAAATAAATAATAAAATCCTTTTTAATAGCAATTACTTTTTAAAGAAAATGTAGCAAATTGCGTGGATAGGTATGTTACAATTGTTTAGGGGCGTGCAAAAAGTCTGCCGCAGCATACCTAAGGGGGGGTTACCATCTTGGGGGATGCCTTTAAATAATGTTTATGAGGGACTGGGATTTTGTCCCTGTTGGCAGCAAAAAATATGCCACAATATGAATATGAGTTGCAATATTTCTTTAAGTCCAGCTAAATCTCAATGCCAAAATATGTGACACAGGGGAAATGGTATCTAGAAGAAATAATGTATTTAACCTTTTCTTCCTAAAACATTTTTTTCAGGGGGGGTGGGGGGGGGGTAGGAGGAAAGAGGGAGAGTACATTGGGCACTTTAGCATAAGTATACCCATGCCTCAAAACCAAAAGAAGAAGAAAGTAGAGGAGAAGATTTTCCTTGAAACTAAAGACATAAAGATTTTCTCTTTTTTTTTCTTCAAAGATACAGTTCAAAACCCAATTATTTTACTTATGTGAAAATGTAATCTTTAAAAATAGTGTCTCAAAAATACAGTCCAGGAGCGTGAACATCAATGGGTTAAGATTTTCTTAAAAAATAAAACATTTCTTTTTCAAAATACAAACATGGAAAAGTGCGGGTACATTTTTTTTAGATTATAGATTAATAATATTTCGGGGAGAAAAAAAAAGCAATGTTGTTACAGACATGAAAACTGGTTAAGAATTTTTTTAATATAGTTCAGGAGCGAGACAAAGTTTTTAATGAAGATAACAATACAGAAAAAGTCATTAATGATACAGATATTTAAAAATGTACAAAGATTTTTGTTAAATTTAAGGTCTTCACAGTTTTTAGGAAATATTTTTTGTTTGTAGTTGTAATTGAGGGATGTGAAAAGGGGCTAGGCCAGTATTATTTGGAAGTTACAAATTTATCAAGCCCAGTGATGTTGGAATCGTGAACAACTATTCATAGATACTTCTCTCAAAGTAAGGAAAGTCTGACTTACGAATTTCCTAACTATACATTTAAAGCATGTGGTAAATTGTCATTATTTCTTTTGAGGATACAAAGCATCATAAACCGATGCAGTAATGTAAAAATTTTATTTTTAGATGTTAAGACTTTGACACAGAGGTAGGCCAGTATTATTTGGAAGGTACAAATTTATCAAGCCCAGTGATGTTGGAATCGTGAACAACTATTCATAGATATTTCTCTCAAAGTAAGGAAAGTCTGACTTACGAATTTCCTAACTATACATTTAAAGCATGTGGTAAATTGTCATTATTTCTTTTGAGGATACAAAGCATCATAACCCGATGCAGTAATGTAAAAATTTTATTTTTAGATGTTAAGACTTTGACATAGAAAGTAGCATAGTATGCATTCCATTATTTAATTAGTCCAGTAACACAAAGTCATATCTCACAGTTTTCTATAATGTGTTCCACCTAAGGGGAAGAAATGAAAAGTGTATGTATGGAACCATTAGCAATCACGAAGGCATTCAGAGTTGAAGGCTTCAAAACACAATTAATTTCATAATATAATCCTAACCCAGCTGTTCTCAAACTTTTAAGTTCCCTGACCCTTTTATAACATTTCCCAAGTTGCGGTGACCCACAACCCAAATTATACCTTGAAAATGAGAAATAGGCATTGAGAAGGGGGAGGGGGCAGAGGTTTTTTGTTGATATAATTATAAAGTGTTGGTACAGTAATTTTTATCAGGGGTGGAGGAATGTAAATTTTTTTTTGTTTTATTTAATGTATGTATGTTAATTTTTAAGTTCATGATTATGTTTGTTAAATTGTATGTACAGTGTGGTGAGCCCGGCCCTAGGCTTGCTTACCGCGCTATATAAAAAGGCCAATAATAATAATGATAATAAAGCAGAAATTATGGCTAAGAAGGGCTGAGGGTTCTGTAGAGAGGCTCTGTAAGTCAATGACGGTACTCAGAAAATTTTGAACTTTTTGTGATCAATTCACACATATGGTTTTAGTCTTGGGTATAAGCTGTCAAATATTAAGTTAAGGGGAAAAAAATGAAAAATAAAATATATTTTATATTTTTTTTTTAAATGAAAAGAAACTTTCAAAATATTTTTTTATTAAATTAGCTGCTGACATACATCAAATCAAAATTATTTTATGTAGCTATAGTGAAGTCAGAGTTTAGTAACAATAAGAAACTAGACTCGGTCACTGTAATTGTAAAACAATATTTAAATTTTAACATGAAAATTAAAATAAGAAAAATGCACAATTTACACTCAAATTCTCAAGCGACCCCAGACATTTTGACACCCAGAGATGGACCCACAAGATAAAAACCACGCTATAACCCATAAACATTTCAAAATATGGAGCGGAGGTTTACAATATACTTTAGTGTTGCTGGTACCGGTAGTTTTCATTTCTCTGATACCAACATATACCCATTATTTTGATTATTATGTATATAATCATCATGGTGATACCACCCTACCACCCTTTGGTTAAGCAAATTGCTTCACTTATAAAATGAGTTTTATATTACATGCCTATCATTCAATTCTGTGAATGAACTAAGAAATCTAATGAACTTAGAACTTAGATCCACACACACGTACAATCTTTGGCTATTCAGTGTCATCAGCCAGTCAGAATGTGATACGAAATATTAATTGTAAATAGAAAATGCCATGGTCTTAACCAAAGATATGCATCTAGCTAAGACAAATAATAACATAATTTTCAGCAATTACATTATAATTTTAAAATAAATCTTTTTTTTTTTTAAACACCCAGACCCCGTTCCATTTTTTTTTTTGGTGCTGCTTCTGGGTATGTTCCAGATGTGCTAATATTTCCTGGTGCCTGGTTGAGTATCTGGGTCAGTACCAAGCTAACCCCTAATTATTGAGTGTCATATTTTAAGCATCAATTTTTTATGTATTTTTTTTTTTTTTTTAAACATATAGTACTTACCAAGTCTTTAAGAAGTTCACAGCCTAAACCTCCAGCTCCAATAACCAATACTTTACAAGTGTCTTTCAGAAAGTTCAGTGTCTGGGGAAATTTTAATGAATAAATTTCAATGTATAGAATTCAACTGTTTTCATGTAGGTAATCAAAGGTTAATACACATGGTCAAGATATAAGGATAAAATGTTTGGGAATCCAAGCAGCGCTAATTACAGTTCACCCAGTTTAACAACAAATATTAACTTTTTTTTCCAGTGCCTAAACATTTGTTAAAACATTTCACCTTGATAAATAATTGGCGTCGACCAATGCAGCAAAGCCAATTAATCAGTAATTTAGATGATTTAATCATAGGTGTACACCCTTATCACACTCTGCCCCTCTCCTAAGAGTCAACATTAACTCATGTAAATATAACTCATGTGCCTCTTAGTATCAACCATTCATCAACAATGTAAGATACACTGATTTATGTTGTTTTTTTAAAATGGGTGAATCAAGCTATTCAAAGTTATTCACAAACTTAAGGTGACTAAAGCGTTACAATAACAAAATAATTTTTTGGAACAAAAATAATAAATGTCATAAACACTAGCCCCTAAAGAAATGGTCTTTCCCTGCTGATCATGATGAAAGACAACTGTAAAAAGTGATAGTCAATAAATTTAGAAGATGGCTCAGGCTTTATCAGACTGATTACTAAGCTAATTCAATTTTATTAATAAATTAAATATGAAGTTTACTGGTAACTGGACACAACTTGTCCATGAATTTAGTCAAATTATCTGTTCAGAAGCCAGAAGAGTTCTTAAAATATGCTTCATTACAATATCCCAATTTCTATGTCATGATTATAATAGCTCATAGGCTAGGCCTAACTTAACTCTTTTCATTCCTTTAATGGTTAATTTCTTTCATTGGATCTCTAGTGACCTTAAAAAGAGTCAACTACTTTTAGAATCAATATCTCAAATGCATGACATTTATATATAAATTTGTAGGCAAATGCATGAAGCTTCTATAAATGTTTCTTAACATATAAGTTCAACACTTAAAAGCTGTGAGAAACATAATGCAATAATGTGAAAATGTGTAAAAAAAATAGTTTTGGGTGATCAGATGCAAAGAAGGCAAACACACAAAAAAAAAACACGTGGAATTTTTTCATAAAATCTGTTTATTCAGATAGAAAATTAATATTTGAATATTATTGGAAGAATCGGAAAATTGTATTTGACCCTAATGTTAAAGATTTTGTAAAGCATTGTAAAACATGGAGAAATTATTTATAACTTGTAAAAATTCCCCATCAGCCCACAAAGTATTTTTACATAAATTACAGGTTGTTATAATTTTAGCTGTTAAAAGTTATTTACACACAAAAAAAACAATCAAGTGGACAATTTAAACTTCATGTTACTCAATTAGACAAATTCTTATTTTAAAACAGAGGTAGTCTTACATTTACATGTGCATCTTTTGACTGTGGGTTTTAAAAATATTTTTTTTTGCATCCCTTATTTATAACAGACATTACAATTTATTTTTAAATCTGTGCATTCAGGAACTATTGGATGTTTATGTTCTTTGCATTTGAGGCACTTGGAACATTACCAGTTTTAGTGATCCACCTCATGCTCAAATAGATTTCTCTTTAAGAAATTGATTGATATTTAAATAGCCATTGCACTGCTATGTCCATTTGCGGCATGTCACATGTTTATCAAAACTTGCAAAAACAGATCAAATTTATTTAAATCTTTAGATTTTTAATTATTTTTCTTCTAATTCTATGATTAAATGATAAAACACTTTTAAAAAAAATAAAGACACAATTTTATGAAGGCAACTAACTTGCCAAGGAGACAAAGCACTTTTTACAAGCTTGGCACTCATATTGCACAAAAAATTATAAAAATAATAAATTAATTAAAAAATATAAAACTATATATAATCTTGAATTGAATGAACTAATATCTTTATGAATCAAACTGAAATCGCAAAATTTATGCCAATGAGATATCCTGATTTGTATAATTTATGCATGAATTTTTTTTTTACACTTCGAATAAACACGTCTCACTAGCAGAATTTTGAAAAATTTGTATGAGTGTTGAAGCCTAAATCAGTCCTAACTTATTTTTGAATGAGATGCAGTTAGAAAAACTTTATGATTTGTTTATTCAAGTAGGATGAAAGAGTCCATCAACTAGTTCAAATTAAGTGCATTTGTGGCAAGTTTTAATGATTATTTTACCTTCATGTACACTTTTTTTTTTTAATGACGAAATTAAATTTAATACATCAAGGAAAATTGGTTTGGGATTCTTTATAAAGTTTGAGAAAAGTTTGGACATTTTTAAATGATTTTAACGTAAGAACCCTGATAGCTGTTTTAACTATACATTTTGATATACTTGGATATATACTGTTCTAACTGTACATTTGTAAAATCCATTTGATTTTTCTGTAATAAGCAAATGAACATTAACTCATTCAAATATTTTTTATCTTAGAGTTGGTTAAGGTATACATAAAATGTCCCATTTTTTGTGGTTTAATTGTAGTTTCTAATGAGGATCCTGAAAAGTATGGAAACAACATGCCACTCAGTATGTTTTCAGTATGTTCATTTCATTGTTGTTAGTTCAACTATTTCTGGAGTGGCAATTAAAGCAGCGTTCAGAAGTTTCTGTGGCTAGGGCATATTAGCTGAGTGTGTGGCCAGCACAATGGCCAGCCACCTTTACTTTTCCCCAACTAATGTCAGGAACCCACCAGAGCTGGGTAGATTCAGGGACACCCTCAAGAACCAGGAAAAAATCCTAGCCGTCATCTAGGACCCTCGGTTGGCTCATTGAACACAATGTCGCCTCTTAAAGATTAAACTGTATTTATATTTTGAAGTAGGGCTTAAATGCAGCTGCCCCTCCCCATCTTTCACATGGCCGCCTAATGCAGCCCCCTCTATGCATCATGATACTGTAGCACGGCATGAACCTGCAACTATTTCAGACAGAAAATTTCTGGACCAGGTGAAATATCAGAGTGCTTAAAAGAAACTAAATGATACCCTGTCAATTTTTGACATCATTTTAAGACCTAAATTGGATAAACGTAAGTCTATGTGAAGAAAGGAAACATGCAACTGACCCCCCCCCCCCAACTCCCTTACAAGGAAAGGGAAACTTCAGAGCCCATGGAACCAGCCTCACTTAGGCTACATATTTTTATTACTATTATAATATTTAATATGGAATACTATAAAATTAGAGTCATGTCTAGGAGGATCGACTTGATATATTAGTAACACTCTATAGGTCTAATATACCCTATGTCGGCCCGTAACAGAGCAGATGTTTGCACATAAACTGCCCAATATCAAATATATTTTTTAAAACGAATTCACATAATATGGCATTATATTAGGCCTATATTATGGTGTGACATAATAATTGATAGTAGGCTATAGTTAGGCCTATTAAAATGTTTTATTTAATTTGTACATGTTTTGAAATGTGTTTGTGCCATGCTCATTAAAGATCAATATATCCTACACTACCCCCTCCCAGATTGGAATTTGATCCTTATTATTTCTAGAAATTTGCATAATTATGTGAACATTTCTGTCTGCTGATACCTTTGCCTTATTAAAAAATTTCAGTCTGCCGATAACGCTTAGCATTGTATGCACAGATGAGCGCATAAGGGGCCATCCATCCATAGATGACATCTTGCATCTAGGGGGGAGGGGGTTAAGATTTTTGTGACAATATGTGACAGGGTGGGGGGGGGGGGCCTCAAGTCAAGTGACATAACATGAAAACTGTAATATTGTAGTAAAGAATGGCACTGAATAACCCTAAATTAAAGACAATAACATTGAGGAGGGATCCATAGATGACATCTTGCATCTAGGGGGGAGGGGGTTAAGATTTTTGTGACAATATGTGACAGGGTGGGGGGGGGGGCCTCAAGTCAAGTGACATAACATGAAAACTGTAATATTGTAGTAAAGAATGGCACTGAATAACCCTAAATTACAGACAATTACATTGAGGAGGGGTGTTTATCCTAGTAAATGCTCTAGGGCAGGGATTCTTAACCTGTTTTTGCAGCGCTGCAGGCCCACTCCATTTTAAACATCCCTCTCCCAACAGTATAAATTATATATTGTAATAAAATTTAAAATAATTAAACAATTTAGTTATCATAGTTTTATTTCTTTGATTAACTTTTTATAAAAAAAAGGGCAAAAATTACACACAATGCGCCAACAAAATTCACCAGAAAAATATTTACTGCTATTAATTAAAATTAAAATGCATAAAAACTTTTCCATGATGTAATTCTTCTTGTTAAATTTAGTCCACAGTATAACAAATAGAAGAACAAAAACAACATAATTGAAGTTCGGGGGGGGGGTAAATGTATTTAAGACCTAACTTGTACTTAGACTCACCCATTGTTATCAAAGGATAGTTTTATTTCTCAGAATTTAGATAAATATAGCTTCCTATCACTTACAAAAGTTACTGAATACCTCATTCCGCATTGAAACATGGTCAAAACGGTGCGTTTCTGACGTAATAATAAAGTAACCTAATTGCTGGTGCATCAACCTTGAAATTTTTATTTTTATATAACACTCATTTTGTTGGTTACATGAGTGGAAAATGTACATGTCATCTGTTATCCTTTTATTTTTATGAATTTCGGTTAGACCAAACAGTGTGTGCTATGTAATTACGCAAGTTTTCAATTTGGTGTCACCCCCTTGGATGATGTCAACCCGTGCAGTCCGCATCACCCTAGCTACGCCGCTGAATACAATTTTATGGTCTTCCACACCTTAGGGCTGGAGAGGTACTCTTACCCCTGGTTAAGAACCACTCAGTCCACTGTTCTAGTGAAATGTTCTGACACGGGTTCAATAATTTGATATCCACTGGAGTTGAATTACTTAAGGGGTTTGTAAAGGAAAGTAGTGGAAAAGGGACTTTTTATAGGGGGGGGGGGTGCAGAGATTTGTGGCTTTATATTTGAGGGGGAGTCTAACTTTTTGTGACAATTTCTGATGATGGGGGGATAGGGCTAAAAAATTAGCAAAATTTGCATGACATCATTTATCGATGGCCCCTAATGATTCCAAATATGTTCACTAAAATACCTAATATTAATAACAGTAATACTAATAATTTCCGCAGATGGAAATATGCCATAAATACATAAATACTAATAGCAATGCCTAGGGACTGAAGTATTAACTGAATTTGTCTTCTTCAATTTACTTAGGCCTATGTCCTGTTAATTTTTTTTCTCTCACTTCTGGCTCTGGTTTCTGTGAGTTGGATTTCAGAAGAATGTCATGATTGAATGTAATTACTCTCTCTGATTCTGGCTACTCTCAAATTTAAGTCGACTTAAAAGTTAGTTTTCATGTCTAACTCTTAGTCTTATTCTTAAGAGTGACTGCCTTAAGTTAAATTAAAACGTAAGGCCGTAAGCCGTTACGCGTTAGCCGTTAGTCAACGTTGGTTAAAATTAAAAGCTTTGCCTTAAGTTTATTTAAGTCCAAGTCTAACTTCTAAGTGTCAAACTCTATGATTACCTCTGGTGATGGTTCGAAATCAGGGTGGGCAAATGGCCCAGTTCGTTCCAAAATTTTTTTAACATGATCCCATCTTCCAGGCCATTCTATTTCCATTGTTAAGATCAGGTAAGCTTGGTCCGAAATATTAGAAATAGTGATAAAAGTGGTAATCGTACTTCTCTGTCTTTTCATACAATATTATTTTCAGTTAGAGTAATTTCCCTTTGCATTATGAGGACCAATCATTGTTTTTTTTTTAATTTATTTATTTGATTTATGACAAATAATCTATTTTGGTATCCAAAAGATGTGATTATTTTTGGTCGTATATTAAACTTACGATGTCCATTATGACATTGAAAATTAACATGTGTTTGCAGTCTTATCTATCCTTGGTATTAAGTCGTTTGACGCACTGGGCACATTCAACAAAGGGCTAGGGCATAGCCATATGGACATACATAATTATATTATATCAACTGTCAGACACGATGAGAATAATGAAGAATACGAAGTGAAACGTTGGCAATAACTTGTTTTTAATTTTTAAAAAGCCAGAATCGACGAACCGGTCCTTTAGTCATTCTTCTTCTATATATTTAGGGCCCAAAATCAATTTATTGATCATTTTGGTTCCTATGCAAGTAGAGGGGATTTGCAATGTTTCTGTTCCTGGTGCTGATGAGGATATTTCACTGATTGCAAGTGCTACTTTGTGAAGGAATCATGCAATGGGGGTTGAAAGGCTTGAGGCAATAGACACAAATGTGTCTAGTGTTGTCGCCTCAACCGTTCCTTTTGAAAGATTGTTCCAGTCCCTGATTGTCTTGGGAAGGAATGAGCAGTTCCTATGCTGGCTTTTTGCTGGCAATGAGCCGGAATTGCCTGTCATGGCCTCTTCGCTGTCTATATTCGGCCCTGATACTAAAACAACTCACACCTCACTCGACGCACAGAGTACCGAGCTTCAGTATAAATCATTTGTTAAATGTACTAGGAGTTGAACACCACAACGTTAAACATCCCTAGCAGTGCCACCGTTTTTGGCTATATGTCTATCGGGTGCTCATTAGCCATAGGATTTTTAAATTATTTTTTTAAAATCCTTTTTGGGATAATTTATCCCTGGCCGCCGACCTCTGTTTTATACAAATAGAACAATTCAGTTACTTTGTCAGTTCTACAAACTGATACTCTTCCAACTGCCAGTTATGATCTTGTAAAATATCAAAACTGTACACTGCCAGTTACGATCTTGTAAAATATCAAAACATTCAACTGAAGCTTTCGAACTTGTCAAGAAGGCTTACAATATGAACCTGACCTTGCTGTGCGGAGCAGTTTGGAATAAATCGTAATAACCAGTAACCGGTTTAAAACGGGATGGCAGTGGTCATCTGTGTCACTAAACTCTGCTGCCTGCGACCAAACCCCCACCATGGGTGTTGTCTGCTAGGAGATGACATGTTAGGGAATAGGGGGCCTACACCCCGTGGTGTCTGCCCACTGCCTGGTCATGCTGTCTGCCCACTGCCTGGTCATGCTGTCTGCCCACTGCCTGGTCATGCTGCCAGCCCACTGCCTGGTCATGCTGCCTGCCCACTGCCTGGTCATGCTGCCTGCCCACTGCCTGGTCATGCTGTCTGCCCACTGCCTGGTCATGCTGTCTGCCCACTGCCTGGTCATGCTGCCTGTCCACTGCCTGTCCACTGCCTGTCCACTGCCTGTACCCTTTTTTGGGCGAAAATGTCGTCTGCTTTTTCATGTCCACCGACGTTAACGTGCCACGGAAGAGTATTTTATCCATTTCCAAACGACGAATTAATGATAATGTGTCTTAACACAAATATAACGAATTGATTCCGACCCCCTGACCCCCCCCCCCGGTCCCACGGGGTCATGTGCGATATTTGGAGTTGTGTTGCCATATTCAGTTTTAAATCAACACACACGTTTTTATTATTATTATTTTTATTTTTTATTTTTTGTGTGCTTACCGGTAATTATAATTAGAGTTTTATTGCCGCTAAAGTTTTCAAATATCACACAGTTTTTTTTCCGAGCATAATTTTTTTTTTTTTTTAGGTACGCTGTCACTTTAATGTGAATAGATTTATAAGCCTAGACATGAAATACACCTTTATTTACATCTCTAGACGCAATGGGCGTGTCCAGAAATGGTTGTTTAATCTCCGCCCCACCTATGGACTAACGAGATGCGTCATCCGAATCTTTGTTTGTGTGATGCCAACATCTGGAGCACCAAATATTTCTAGTCAGATGACTGAGCAATTGAGCTTGGAAAATATATACATTTTTGTTTTCATGCTTTAAAAAGCAGCATAAAACTTCATATGATCTCTTCGTTATTGGGATTGCGGGGGGGGGGGGGGGGGGGGGGGGGGGAGTGGGATGGCAAAAGGGGGAGGGCTTTGTGGGTGAACCCAAACGAATTTACCACTTAGCAACAAAAAAAAATGAAATTCAATTAACAAAATAAGATGTGGTTTTATTTAATAATAGGAATCATTCTGTTTATTGGAAGTTGATTGTCTCTTGAAAAAATGGAGTACACGCTCATCGAGCTTCTTGTTTCCAAACTCACACATTTTCCTTCAAGCTTTGCAAACTTTGTGTAAACACATGCAACAAAGAATTAACACTATGAAATGTGGACTTCTTTCACGAACCAACACAGACATTGCGAGGACTCTCTTGAAGACGTAATGCAGAAGTATGTACACAGACTTGGGGTTCATAAAATACTCAGGAGACATATTAAAAAAAATAAACAACGGTCTAAGACATACACTTACAATAGTCGAACAGAACTGCCTCTAAATATTGCCCAAATTATATTGAATAAGGTGGTCTCATAATTTAGCATAGGTGACTTGGACATGTTTTATTTGATGCAACGTTTTACCAAAATTCGAGCTAGACTTTAAAATCAATGTTTAGAATTTAGAGAGTACGCTTAATATAAAACATATTTGTATATGATCTTCTTTTGGTTGTCTTTAAAGCCTTACAAAACATGAAACGTGTGAAATTGTCTTTTAATTTTTCTTTGGTTAACATTGTGTTTTCAATGAGTGCAGCTTAACACATGGGACAAATTGACACATTGTTTAGTCTTTGCTGTAACAGATGATGTGATTAAATTTGCTAGGGGGGTGGTTAAATTGGTATTTATATATATATATATATTTCCATGTGCAAACACTATTTCCTAGGGGTCACCTAAGACCATCGGAAAAGACATAGGAGGGGCCTACTCTACAGTTATGAAGTAGCAACGAAAATAATTGTGCGTGGGGGGGGGGTCGCCACAACATGAGGAACTGTAATCAATGGTCGCGGCATTAGGAAGGTGAGGAACACAGACGTAAAGAGAGTCCGGTTGTTGTTTTTTTTTTTTGTTTTTTTTTTTTTTTTTGGGGTAAGAGTACGAAAAAGACCTTGTACAGATTGTTGCATCTTGCTCCCCTAGTGTGAACAGTGTTACTCAGTGAAGCCGCACATTCCCACAAGTGCTATGCTTGTCTTTTTATGAACGTTTTCGAGTTCATGTTAGTGAAGTCATATACTGGCCTACTTGCCGCATCCCAGA